AAAGACCAATACCAGATATTGGCGGCTATCAGTTGTATCAGTTTCAAGAAAAAACTGATACCAAAAAAAAAACCTAACGAACTACATCATAGAATATCAAAATGTATTCCTGTATACATTGAAAATATCAAATATTTTAAATTATACAATGTGTAAAATCTTTCTTTTTTGGCCAGACAAATGATAAAAATGATATTCACATAAAATTATTAAAATAGCAAAACCATCTTGTTTTCTATACATTGTAATTTAATTGATTAATAATAATGATAAATACAGTAAGTTTATGCATTTTTGTTTTTAATGAGCTACTTTTATGTTTATTAATCAGTACGCTGAACGTATTTAGAAAAAATAACAATATACCTACAGCAGAGATTAATGCGTTTTAACATAATTATCATTAAGAATTCATGAAGTATGGCCATGTTATTAAACCTATTTTGGCTGATAATGCATCTTCAAATTATCTTATTACCAGRAATATTGTGCATAGTGAAACATGAATTTTGTTGTGAAGATTAACTCTAATAAGTTTTATTTAGTTCATTCAGACCTTTTAAAATCGACCTATTCAATTTCTAGAAATGTATTCAAACTTGTATACCTACTGTTAATGTTAATTGAAATTTTACAAGTGGCCAAGTGGGTTACTGTTATGGATGGGAACATGGAATTAAATTTGAATCCAATGATATTATATCATTGTATAAGAAAAACGATTCTGAGCAGAGACGGTTTATCTGTCTATAGTCGGGTGAATGAAAAGGGGCCGCTCAGCCGCTGATGCCCACGCACCTAGCGGTGAATTTTCATCTTTGTACCGCAAAATTATGGAAAAAAGCGCGCGCATTTTGAATTATTAATCATTATTAATCGCATTTTACGTGATTCACTTTGAGAACCCATGGCTTATTGAAAAAAAAAAAGGTTCCCATCATATTTCCAGCGGCCACTTTTCATTCACCCGACTATTGAATATATTATAGAATATAAATTATTATTAATATAGTAGGTGGTAAGTTGAATTAATATTAGTTGCATGTTATCCTGAAATTGTCAGCGATAATGAAAATAAGCGGGTAAGTGGATGTCGCTTTGCTGTACATTAGGTGGTGGGGTAGACCTCTGACTAGGGTAGGTTAGATTTGAATGCAATGATAGGTATCATTGTATACGAAAAACGATTCTGAACGGAGATGATTTGTCAGTCTAGGATATATTATATTTAAATATTGTCATATAT